ATATTTTTTTGTATTATTTAGATAATTGGAACTATTTTTAATAAACTAATACGAAAATAGAATATTAAAACAAGAAATTAAAACACAAAGAAAATGAGGGGTGCAGTAGTAAAATAGATTACACATGAACCAAGAACAAAGAAAATTGGGCCAGATTAGGAAGGGTGTGAATAGTAATTAGTAGGACCCAAACACAAACAAATTCCACTTCATTTTTGTCTCACTAAAATAAAGAAAAAAATAAATGTAACAAAAGTATGTGAACATGTATCAATTGGTCACACTATCACTTAAGTCACAAAGGACAAAACAAGGAAAAGACAAAACACAAAAGGACAAAAGAAGCACTGTTCATCTTCTTCCTCCCCCAACTTACAGCACCGCTTCGGGCAGCCCTTGCCACCGTGACGCACTGTCGGCCGACGACGGCCACCACCAGAGGAGGTCCGGTCGTTGAAAAATAAAAAAAAGGGACGTTTCCCACTCGATTTTTCGCGCAGATTCCATTTTTGACATTATTTTTCTCTAATTCTCAATCCAACATTATGAAAATCCAGCATGAACAAAACACGTACATACTTTCATATCAACAAATCAAAACAACATAACGACTAACTTCAAGTATTTTCCATGGAGATTCTAAAAAAAGTGGTGTGAATAGTAATACGAGTTTGACATGTGCATTGAGTATTTTGTGTGGTATGAATGAGCAAAATGGAGTGTGAATGGTATATGATGATCATGAATGAGGTGTGGTGGGATTAGCAAATGGAAAGTGGGAGTTCTTGGTGAATTTTAAAAATTTTCTCAATATGAAAAATTATTTGAATTTCATGGCATGCATGGTACATGGTGTGTTGGCTCAAATGAGGTAACGAATGATGTATGAGGTGCATGGAACCATTATACCACTCTTGTGCCATAAAATTCTCTTTTGAGTCACCATGAGAATGACTTCATAAGCATGAAATTCTTGAAGAATATTTGCATGATGATGAGATTCTTGAAGCATTGGAAAGTTGGCATGATAAGGAACAATATTGGTGTTGATAACATCTTGAAACAATGCTTGGAAATGACTTGAAATTGAGCATGAAAATTGCACAAAATTCTAACCATCTTGAAACTTAGAAAAATTCTAAGTGTTGGAAATTTGTCATTTGAAATGTCTCACTCTAATCAATCATATCTTGCTCCCTAATGATCTTATGATGACAAAATTGATATAGTTGGAAAGATCAAAGGAAAATGAACAACTTTATTGTTGAAGAGTTTTGAATTGAAACTTGATTCAATCAATTTGTAATTGTCCACAGAAAGTAACTATTCATGCATGCAAACTTACCAAAAATGGAAACTTTAGAAAACTCTAACCTGCCAAATTAGGTTAGTTTCCTCAATTCTTGATTTTTGATGTTTTTCTTGACTTTTCTTGATCAAATCTCATCCATTTATCACGTTTGACTTATGGGACACAATTTTAACCATAAAAATTAAGAGTTGACATTAAAGTTAAAATTTAAAATATATGTATAGAAGACCCATCAATGTTAAATTTTATGTAGTAATTTGCAGTTTACATCATTGAGAATAATTGTTATTCACTATCAGTATAAAATATTTTACAAAGTCAATACATCATAACCATTTATAAATGATACTTTACATATGATTAAAGAAAAAATCAAATATCTAAAAAATTTTAACGGTTATTATTTATCTATAATGTAAAATTTCTTAAATTCTACATAATCTTATCTCCATTAATAAAAAATTTCTAAATCCCACAATATCTATTATTTTAGAATGTTTGATGTGCTTGAAGCTTAGGTCTCCCAACAATAACTCTCATTTTAATATAAAACTCATCCTATCTTATTTCTTATTTTGTTCATACTCTAAATTTCATCATTTCAATATGATTCATCGCTTCAATTAGCAATCCACTAGTTCCATATAAGTAACCCAACAACATAGTATTCTGAATCGATGACTAGTCCAAATCTACAAAACTGGTCCTGGATAAGGTCCCACGCATATACACATGAAAAGAAAAAGATAAGAAAAAAGAATAGAAGATACAAATAAGAGCAAAGAAAGCAGAGAAAGCAAATCCAAGGGTCCATATCAAACCAAGCTCCAAATAATCAACGGTCAAGAGATGAACACATAAAGCATTTCACTTCACTCCATTTCTCGAAGCATTATTTTGCATGAATTTTTGAGCCATTGATTCATTCATAATTCGTACCATAAGAGAGCAATAACACCTTCAAAATGAACCCACACACCGACATTTTTGGAATAAAAGGGTAACACATGTACGTGATGACGACACAAAGACACTGAGGTAGCTTTTGTCTGAAAATTGGTCTCTGCTGCTCTTGTTGTTGTTGTTACTTGCTTTATTCGTTCTTTAAAGCTAACATTGGTTCTTACAAAAGTTGTCATCCATGCTAGCTTTTGCTTCTCTTTTTTTCATGAGATAATACTAGTTTCGTTTATCGTTTAGATCGATAATACTAAAGTTTTGCAATAATTATTGAGATCTGTTACTTGATTATAACTAATTTGAAGCAGAAAAGTAACTACGAATAAGTGACATAGAGACGAGTGAACTCGATCAATGACAAATTATTACCACAAGAAAAGGGTCTTGTGTCATACACATATTTTGACCAACTAGTCTTTTACTTTTATGTATGATTTTCTAGTGCATAATTCTATAATAATAAGGGTTAAATGGATATTGTATACCGGTCTATCTCAATATTATAAGCTTGTTTGCTCATTTTTACATACATTAAGTAAAATAAGAAGTATTAACAAAGTTAAGTAAGATAATAAAATATAGAGGATAGTTGGTTAGTATTGGATTCAAATTATGAATGGTTAAGATTTTAAAGTAATATGTAATGTTTACCTCTTTTAATAAGTTAGAAACCATATATAAATAATAAAATAATAACAAAAAGGTATTAGCAGAAACAATGATCTTCAGCGCGCAAGAATAACAGGTCAAAGAAAAAGCATACTAAACAACAAGTCAAACAAATATCTAAGTCGATCCACAAAAGAAAAATCAAGTCAATCAATCAGCAGTCTATTTTATACTTAAGTCACATGACAAGAAACTTTTAGAGAGAGCAAGTTGGAGGGAGGAAGACCTAATCACCTGAAAAAATGAAAAGGAGAGTAGGTGACCGTTCAACACACCCTTAAATACCTAATAAGTTAAGCAGGTCCTGCTCCTAGTCTAGTAGAGAAACGATGAAATTCAGAACATGATGGATCCACTTTCACGCCATATTGATAATCAAAGTTATCCAGTAATTATCCATCAAGCTTTTTTGTGAAAAACTAACTTAATTCCACAATTCTCATATAATTTAAACTACAAAATGTCAAATCGAGACGAGGCCTAAGGATGCTATCTCACAGTGACCTAAACCCTAAAACATCACAAATACCTCTAAAATCGAGTGTAGCAAAGGACCAGACCTCCGAACCACCTAAAAATCTTATAATAAATAGTTGAAGCAACCTCACACAAAACAAATATATAATTAGCTAACTCGATCTGCCCCACACACACGACACACCCCTCATCAGAACTGTCCAACACAATCTAACGCCTCAAAAGATTCTGCCTACTTAACAACCTATTCTAAAACACCTGCCAAAAAAACATTAAAGATTCCTCCTCTTATGATCATTAAAGATTAAGCCCGTTGTTTCTGCCTTTCACATACTTTCCAACAAAATTCATTATGATAAATTCATTCTTTATTTCTATCTTACATTCTCTAGTCTTACTTTTATTCATGAAATCACTACTAAACCTCCACAACATGAAAACAAATGCTTAGATATGTCAATATTTAGTGTGTAACATGCATGTATCAAAATATTTACGTCCCATATTCTACTTACAGGTACATATTGTTGCTCTTACACTGATGTAGAACTTGAAATAGACACATACTTTTGTGGACACCATCATACAAAATACAAGGAAAGAGAATAAAATATTAAAACAATTCAAACCGTATCTCAACAAGGATGTTTGACGTGAAGATTTGTGTCCACAAATCATTCCACAAGAAACACTGTTTGGTTCTCACTCTAATCTCTTTCTGACTCAGCCCTAGTTCCTTGTGTGTGTAAATTTATGACCTAAGTAAAAACTGTTACTAACTGAAAACTTGCCAACACAAATCTGCTAAAAGTACAATGATTTGAGAGCTTTCTTGGAATTCTAACCAGATTGCCATATCTTATTTTGAAGAAAACTAAAAAAGCTATGGACATTAAATCACACTGTCACACTCAAGTTTCCAAGAATTTCTTTCACAAAATTAAGGTATATAGTAAGCTTGTATATATAGAGGTGCTATGAGAGATATAAAAATTTCAAGCTTGAATGAAATTTCTGACAAACATGTCCAGAAAATCTTACTATCTGAGATTTCCGTACATAGAAGAAGAAAACCGTTGCTCAAATAATGATATCATAATAACTTCTGAAAGAAATCACATAATAGTTTTTGATGATTACTACAACACACATTAAGTTCAAATAGTACAAAAGAAATTCACTCCATGCATAAACATAAACAATTAATCAATGAAAATTAAAATATACAAGAACAAAACCAAATTCTACCATGCTTCTCTTGATTTGTTTTAACATTAAGCCTTGATTTTCGCCATCGGAAGTAAATCATGTTGCTTCATTTCTTCTCTGATAGATAGATGATGCCTTAGATTTGATAACTCATAAGCATAGAGCCACGACAAAGACGAAGAAAATTCAACTGCGTACACATTACTAAAAACAAAAAGTGAATTAGAAACGGAAAAAAACATAAATTCATCCCTAATTTCGTCTCTAAAATATTAGTTAGAGATGTCAAAATTAGAGATCAATTTAAAAGTTTTTTCCGTCTCTAATTCTCATTAATAATTCAACTTTTTCTAGTAGTGCAAACGACGAAAAGTTACAACAGACGACTAGCGGAAGAAGATGCGAGACCAGAAAAATCATTCCATGAATTGTAATGGTTGTTGTTATTCTCTGAGACACTCAGAGGAGATCTTAAGAAACTCAAACCTCCGTTGTGTTCCGATTTAACCGATGCAGGCATGATCTGAGTATTAGCCCTAGATGAAGTTTGTGGTTCAACAATTTCACTTTGAAATGGGAAAGAAACATTTGAAGTAGTTGATTCATAACCATTATTCATGAAGGGAAATTGTTGAAACCGCCACTGATCCAAACCTCCACCACCTTCTCCGCCTCCACTATAATCTCCGATTTGAAACCCCATATTACCAACGTTTCCAACGCCATAGCGACTCAGATTCTGCAGAGATGTCATGTTCATGTAGGTTTTGTTACTTGGATTCAAGAATTCTCCGAAAGGTGTTGAAGATGAATGGATTGCACTTGTTGAATAATCTTTTTCATTACTATTAGATATTGGAGATTTGGAAGGAGTAGTAGTACTAGTAATAGTGGTGTTACTCTTTTTGGTTTTCTTGCTTCTACGACACCCTCCACCAACAGGAACATTTCTCAATGCACCCCCTCGCGTCCAGTAACGCCTACATGTCTTACAAAAGTGTCTTGGTTGAGATAAGTTATAGTTGTTGTAGTAACAAAATTTGGTGTTGGTTGAATCGCAACGAGGACACTTCAAAGCTGTCTCTTGTTGTGGTAGTTTAGCTATCTGAGTTTGATTCTGAGCCTGAGTCTGACCTGTTTGAATTTCTTGAGCTTGACTTGTCTGAGCCTGAGCTTGAACTTGAACTTGACCTTGACCTTGACCTTGATTCGGTATCGAACCAGGCCTGATTATCGAGCCTGCACCATGTGGCTGTGAGGATAGTGGTGGAAGCAACTGATGTTGATTTGGTTGCTGCAAAACATATATATTTGATAAAGATTATATATAAATATAGATATATAACAAGGTTACAAGAGAGGAAAAAGATGAAAATTATTCTTGAGTTGTAAGGAAAAAAAATCTGCAGTATATTCAAGAAGATATTATTATTACAAAGGAATAGGAATAAATAAGAAAATTTACTCTTTTTGAGGAAAAACTTACTTGCTGCCAATTGAGAGGATCTAAATAAGATGGAATAGAAGAGAAAACCATGGTGGTGTTCAATCCTTTTGCGTTTTTATTTTTTTTTCTCTTTAATAAAGTTTGATGGCTCTTTAGGGAGATGGTGGAGAATCACACTATAGTGGAATAGCAGAGCAAAGAAAGTAATAAAGCATTAAAGCGAAGATGGAGAGGGAGGAGGAAAAGATGAGGCTTTATCTTGTTTTTCTTTGTGGTTATTCTTATTATTCTTTTTGTTTTATTATATTTTTAGGGTTTTTAGTGGAGGAAGTATCTTAACCTATAAGCATCTTCTTTTTTGACGCGTTTGTCTTATAATTTGTTCATAAAAAAGAAGAGTGGCTCCATGCATGGAATGGTGTCGTATACGTAGCAAATTGACGGATCTCTAAATTCATACAAACATCAGAATGTGAGTGAGATGATTCGTATATCTAATATTTTAAAATTTTGAATCGAGACTTGACGTCTAATATATTTGTGTGATTGTTCTCAATTAGTTCAACGCAATGATATTTAAGACTTTTTTCGTAATTCAACAGTGATATCACAGTCAATAGTTTATTTAAAGGTGAATGATTTCTTATATAAAAAATTTGTTAGATTATTTAAATGACGAGATGAAATCACTTTATATGAGAGTCCCATAATTGAAAAAAAAAATGTTTATCATCGTATACGCGAATGGCGAGTATACTCAAAATATTGAGTTAAGATGTGTAGTCAAATTCATTTGTCCCATTGCTTAACACATAATGAGATGATTTTCCCAATTATTGTAATAACCCAACAATAATGCTTAAAAGGACTTGACTATAAACAATGATATGCTTAAGTGGAATTGACCATGTTGCATCATAATAAAGTGATTTTTTTTTGCAATATTTTAAAACAAACTAATATGATTGACATGTAGTAAACAAATGTATTTTGGTTTCTTGGAATCCCTAACCAATAACACAATGTGTCTCCAAAATAACTCCAATGACCCTCCTATTTTCAAGTAGGTATTCTAGATACAAGCAATTGTCAAGAGAAAGCTATTTACTTAAAAGGAATCTAAGTCTTCTGTTATTTTTCCATAGCCAAGACCATCTGTGTAGACAACTCCAACAGAGGAAGGTGCAACGAAGACAAAAAGAAGCATATGCTAGATTTACCGTGAACGTCATCCTCACCAAGAGAATTGCTAAAAAGATTCTATTTTTAACATTCCAACACTCATACTCTTATTAGATAAAATTCATGTGGTTTCAACACTTTCGAAGTTGGTCCCATTTAAAGTGGTGAAATTCATATGCGTTTTATTAGATAAAAGAGTGAATGTCAAAGACATATTTTGTGGTATTTTTAATCGAATTCTAGTGATGACAAGAATAATTTTTTGATTCGACAAAAGTCATGCATGTTGTATTTGAAGTCTGTTCACATACATGTTGTAGTTCGAGTCGAAATATGCTTTATTTAAAGCAATATCGAATTGGGTCTTACTTGAAAGCTCAAATGTTAAGTTAACTTGTAACTTAAGTTAGCTTAATAGTCTATAAATAGACTAGTTCTCTCAGGTTGTTGAGAAAGGTTAATTGTTATTATTACTTGTAATTTTTGAACTCTTATTGATTAAGTGAATAGTAAAGCAATTTTAACCAATCTTGAATTCATCTTCTTCCTTCTTCTCTCTCTTTCGTAAAATCTAATAGGGTTTCTTGTGTTTGTTCAAGAAAATCAATCTTTCTCATATTTTGGCTTGTTCTTGAAAACATAAATTTACAACAAACTGATGTGGTGAGCGTGGAAAAGAATATGCCATCAACAAAGTATGAAATTAAGATATTCACTGGTGTATGATTTCGGTTTGTGGCGCTTGAAGATGTAAGTCCTACTAGTTCAACAGGATTTGTTAGAATCGTTAAAAGGATCAGAGAAGATGGATGTTGCCTTAACGGAGAAGAAGAAGACGAAGATGATCGAGAAAGCCCACAATGCCATCATATTGAGCTTTGGTGATAAGGTTCTTCGGCGGGTCTGGAAGGAGAAGACGACAACATGTGTGTGGAGCAAACTCGAGGGTTTGTACATGATGAAATCGTTGGTCAATCGTCTCTACCTGAAACAAGTTTTGTATTCGTTCAAGATGGGTGAAGAAAAGTCTTGGTTGAGAACCTGGATATGTTCAACAAGTTAATTCTTGATCTTGAAATATCGAGGTCAAGATTGATAATGAAGATCAAGCATTATTGTTGTTGTGTGTTTTACCTAGTTTCATGCTCACTTTAAAGAAACTCTCTTGTATTAAAGAGATTCATTGACCTTTGTAGAAGTTCAATCAGTCTTGTACTTTAAGGATCTGAATAAAAGAAATAAGCATAAATCATCTTCTGTTGGTGAAAGTTTGTCTATTAAAGGAAATTTTTTGAGGAAATGTGGTAGATTTGAGAAAAATAAGGGTAAGGTTCTAAAAAATTATTATAGTGGTAATACTCCTGCAATTAGGTGTTATCATTATAAGAAGGAACGCCATACAAGAAAAGTGTATCCTGATAGACCAAATAATCATGGTGGAAAGGATAATGGTAATGCAACAATTGTGCAAGATAGTTATGAATCATCTGATGTCCTGGTGGTTTCAAGCAGCGACTCTAGAAAAGAGTGGATTATGGATTCAAGGTGTACTTGGCACATGACCCCAAACAAGGATGTGTTTGAGGAATTGTGTGACTAAGATGGAGGATCAATGTTGTTGGGAAATAATAAAGCCTGCAAGATTGCAGGAATTAGATCTATCAAATTCAAGCTCTATGATGAGTCAATAAGGCTATTGACTGATGTCAGATATGTACCTGATCTTAAGAGGAATTTGATTTCTCATTGTGAATTTGACAAGAAAGGATATGTTTTCAAAGGAGAGTAAAGTATCCTAAGGGTAATGAAGGGGTCGAAGGAAGTATTAAGAGTCGTGAAGAAACAAGGCTTGTATACCTTTGAGGCTTAGGTTGTAAGTGGTTTAGCATATCTGGCATCCAAAAAACCTGTGTCGAAGACTGAGTTATGGCAATAGAGACTTGGCCATGTCAATGAAAGAGTGTCGCTAATGCGAAATAAGGGTGTTGGCAAAGACAGAAGAGTCGCCACCTATCGTTATTTATCCCAAACGAGGGAAAGGAACAATCAGGAAAAAACCTAGCGAAAAGGGATAAGATCGGTCATCGCAACCAAATCTCGGGTTCGGGAGTCGGTTATGCAAGGGGAAGGTATTAGCACCCCTCACGCCCGTCGTACTCGACGGGATCCACACTTATTTGTTTAGTCTAAGGGTGAAAAACAATCTAATCTATGGCTTCTAAAGCTAAACGGAAGGAACTGACTCGATAGAGCATCGCGCTCTATGCCTACGTATTCCCTCGTGCAATGGGAAAGTCAGAGTCAACGTAGTTCGGAAAACTACGGGGGGATTGCTCGCCAAAACGTCGCGTCTTATGCCTACGTATTCTTATCTTGTATGAGAAATCAGAGCAAAACGTAGTTCACGCTCACTACGGAAAGACTGGGGTGTTCTCGATCACACGGGGGTGAGAGAAAAGGTTGACGATACTAGCGTATGCATTCTAGCAGTTAGGTGTATGCTGCTCGACCATTGGAGACTTATGTGTTACCTGTTTACGGTAGAAAGGACGTAGTATGTCATTGGTTTAAAGGTAAGGGAACCTACGGGATTCTAGAACTACGGGCTGGTCTCAATTGCGCCAGGGCAAGAGAAAGGGATATTACTTGTCAGCGGAAAAGTCTTGATCGCACGACAGCGAGAGAACACAGAAGTTAGTTGTTAGGGTGCTCGCTAGGATATCACATCATATGCCTATATATTCTCGTCTGGTACGAGAAATCAGAGCAGCTGTAGTTCAGCCAACTATAGGAAAAGGGGGGAAAGTGCTCGCTAGGATTATCGCAATCCTATGCCTACGTACTCTTAACAGGTATGAGAGATCAGAGCAAACGTAGTTCGGAGAATGCGGAAAACAAGTCTCGATTGCACAGGGGAAAGAGAAGGGATCTCAATCGCCAAGATGCGAGAGAAAAGGGTTTCGATCGCACGGGGGCGAGAACAAAGAGGAAGCAGGCCTAACACGCCCAAACGGGAAGGAACTCGGGACACACACGCAAGAACCTAAGGCATAGGAGCGAATGCGTCGCATATCACCCAAAGGGTGCTACACTAAAAATTCTAGGCCATTAAGGGGAAACCCCTCAATCACCATTTCCTACGTATCTAACGCTACAACTCACACCACTCGACGGTTGATTAAAAGCCTTGAATAAGAAAGATGTTATCGAACGGAGCAGTTCTGTTGGCCCTTGACATTGTGCGCAAGCTCTATTCCAATCTTCTCCTCTTTGGATCCTTGATGAAGACGTTTCGAATTAGAACCAATGTGACGCTAAACCGTCATAATTTGACTTATAAACGAAGTCAAACTCTAAAAGGCAGTGTATTGATATCCGTGTCAAAGACAAGATAGAGAAATGATATTGAGAATCATTCTCCAATTGAATCATGTCACACAGACAACACAGAAGAAAACCAAAATAAAATCATATGGAAGAAGAAAAATGAGGAGAGAAAAAGGTGGTCTCAGATCCTACATTATCCATCAACAAGTCGATTAATAACGCATTACGGAAGTCTCGTCATCGACCTACAAAACAAAAATGATGAGAAAATTCCAATAACAAATGGAAATGAATTCTACATCTAAAAAGAAAATAAATCCTTAATAGAAAACTCTAAAGAAATTACAAGGAAATTGCATATAGAAAATAGAATACAAAACTCTATATATCCTAAAAGAAAATAGAATGTAAAACTAGAGTATAAAATCTATATACAATATATGCACATAATATTCTAAGAAAATACTATAATTTCCTAAAAAGAAAAAAGTAAAACGATACTAAAATCTATTACAAAAATATGTCCCAAAACTACACAATTGGCTATGAATTATACAAAAATAAAAACCAAAAGAAAATAA